GAAGGACCTTGTTGTAGACCAGTACACCAACTGCACCCACAACAGCAGTATCTAGGATCTCCAGCAGTCCCTGTCTTAGGCATTAGAGGATAGGTTGGTCAGTCAGGTTATGGAGTCTAAGGTTTATAGTTTGATGGTAGATGAGTCCACAGACATCTCAGTTCATCAGAACATGATAGTGTATGTTAGGTTTTTGGAGTCTGTCTGTGGTCGGTTAGAGCTAGCAACTAGGTTTCTTGGTATTTGTCAGTTGTCTGTTGCAGATACAGGGTCTATTACGAGTCAGATGTTAGATTTGTTGAGTCTAAAGGCATTGAGGTTGAAGGGCTAGTTGGTGTTGCTACTGATGGGGCATCAGTCATGACAGGGTGTAAGTCAGGTGTGGTCACTAGGCTTAGGGAGGTTAGTCCAGGTCTGCTAGCTACTCATTGCATTGCTCATAGGTTGGCGTTAGGTTGTGGTGGAGCAGCAGACAAGGTCAGGTATTTGGTTTAGTTTCAGAAGGTGCTTAATGCCATCTACAAATACTTTGAGAATTCACTAAAGAATATGGCTAGGTTAGAAAAAGTGCAGGCAGTGTTGGAAAGTAGCAAAGGTAGTAGGTTGAAGCAGGTGTTCCACACTAGATGGTTAAGTTTTGATGGCAGTGTGCAGGCAGTTGTTGAGAACTATCCTAGCATAGTCAGTGTTTTCCTGGAGGACAAAAGTGCTAAAGCTCTGTCTTTGCATAAGCCTATCACTTGTTACAAGTTCTTGTATGTGGCACATTTCCTTTCGGATGTTCTTAGAGAAGTTGTCAGACAATAGGTCAGGTGAGAACTTACACAGGTTTCTGAGTCAGGTTCCAGAGTCATCTCAAGTAGATAGTTGTGGACTACAGACATTTGAGTATGAAGGTTATACAGTCAGAGATGGTGCTAGTCAGAGGTCAGAGGCAGAGTCAGCTTGTGCACAGTTTGTCACATTCTTGGTTGAGGGAATTAGAGAAAGGTTTACTGACAAAGGGGATGCTGTTGTGTTGTCAGTCCTGACCAGGCTTTCTGATCCTTCTCTAGTTGATCGTCACAGTGAGGCGCTTATCGATTCTGTAGAGGTAGTTGCCAAATACTTAGGCACAGTTGTAGGGTCAGGGTCAGTATCAGTTGTAAGACAGAAGTTTCTCAGTTTTCTGGAGTACATTTAAGTTCAGGTGTTAGGAAATAGGAAGGTGTATTGTAAGGTGCAGGATGTGTTTCAGTGTTGTGCTTTAAACATAGAGATAGCTTTCCAGTTGTAGCAAGGGTTGCTGAGAGGCTGCTAGTAGTTCCAGTGTCCACAGTAGATTGTGAGCGAGGCTTCAGTCGCCAGAACCTCATCAAGACAGATCTAAGGACCAGACTCAGCATCCAAAGCCTGGAGAACCTGATGAGGATTTCACTGGAACATACAAGGTTTGCAGCAGCACTGACTTGTATGAAGCAGCCTTCCAACACAGGAGTGCCGGCAAAAGGAGGTGGATTATTTTCCCTTCCAAGTAGTAGACTTTTTAAAGACATTGTTGAGTGAACATTTTTACCCTGACAGGTGTACTACAGTGACATTCGTTTACAATACAAAAAGTAACTCTAGTGATTTCAGTACAAGAACAATGCAATATAGAAATGAATTCAAGGACAGCTAGTGTATTTCAAACAAGCGTCAATACAGAAAAGTGCTTTGTAATAAAAAAAGTTTGAAATTAAATTTTTTGTGTGTATAGTTTTCCATAATGTAAGATTAATTAGACATAGTTGATTCAATTTCTCGAAAGGGCTTCAATCAAACGTTACGTGCCAATATGCCAAGACTACTCTCTGAAGAAATTGGCTACTAAAAATCACACTTGGCTATTTTTTGGGCTACTGATAATTTTGGTTCAGGGTGAGCCCTGGATATTAAACACACTTATGAAAGATATTTGTTATTATTTAAGAAACTATCAAATATGCTTTATATTCTTAAGAATTTCTTCAATCTGTACATGTGATTATATATAATTGTAGGCAAATACTGCCAACATCATATCATGTGTTTTACCGACGTGAACAAACTACATGTTATCTCACGGTCCATAGCTTTGCTGGACATATCGATTCCTTCATTTTGTACTCAACATAGACATAAATATTTATATTATCGTTTGTGACCTGTCTTTATCTATACTGTATCCGGAAAGGTATTTATTTATATATGTTATTGTCACCAATCAAACGAACATCACCGGATCTGTACTTGTTAACATTTCAATAGTGTTAACCGTATTTTGCGCATTGTAGTTAATTTTGAAAATATGTTGTCTCTCGTTCTATCATTATGTGTTTCTCCGAATAGTGTTCCCGTTGTATGGAGATATTGAACGTAATCCTAGACTATATGAGTCTAAATCTAATTTATCAAAAGTTTTCAGATGCTCTTCCAATATTGCAACTTTGCTTGATGTGGCGAACTATATATATTTGTTCATTTAAACTTACAAAGCATAAATTAAAAAATGACATTCTTTTCAGTGAACTATATAAGCATAATATCCTATCCTTTACCCCATCCTGGCTTAGCCCTGATAATATAACTTCAAATTAAGACTTTCCTGATTATCCCCCTTGCTGTTGTTGTAGACCAAATAGACAAGGAGGAGTTGTGTATCGGTATATGTATGTAACATTTTAATATCCATGCGTCGATCTGATCTAGAACTACTCTCAGTTGAGTGAGTATGACTTCAAGTCATTATTTTCGGACAAAATACTATATAAGTTCTATAGGCCCTCTGGTTAACATCTCTCTTGCAGTCAAACTTGCTTTTAACGCAGAGATGCATAACAAGCCGGCGATTTCAATGGAAACCAATCAAATAATAATAAGCAATCTCGTCACCTTCGTAACTTACAAACCACTTACAACCTTACGCAAAGCGTCGTCAATCCTACTTTCTTTACGAATTTGCGTTCCTCTTTTCTTGCATCCTCGATACTTTAGGAGTTACGATCATTTTCGCAGGAACATGTCATGGCAATATTGAAGTTTCCATGTGCGACACCTTGTGGACAAGACTTGTTTGATCCTTTGATGTACATCAAACGAATCAAACGAATGGTATATATTGTAATGACTTTGAAGTTTGGTTTCGCTCCTTTGTAATCTTCAAAAGGAGCGCATCGACCTATGATTGGTTGTTTTTTTTCTGCTGGAACCAATCAAATTACTTCACGTGTACCTTGTGAGCGCAATCCCTGGTGTTTCGAGGATGTTCGACATTCTAATTTACATTTACACTAGAAGAGCCAACGATTAGCTGTTGAACTAATTTCTATAGAGATTCTTTCCTACCCTCCTCTATTGACCGATGGAACGCACTGCCCGCTGACTTGAAATGCAATCCGTCAATTACGAACCTGTAAATCAATCTCATTAAACTACCGACCACTTCCTTCTTCAGTGTCCTAACTACCAGCAGGTCAGAACCCAATGTTTCAGGAGCCTTCCTCCAAATCATGACATCATATTACATGGTAGTCCAGAAATACCTTTATAACGAAACCAGGTTTGATTGTGTTCAAAACTTTATCTGTCATTTAAAACGTTTTTAACATGGTCACTCCCTTTAAGCATTAGGTAATTAATATATGTAGTTACCTGTAACAATCTTGTCCAAATACCTATGTGACCCAACACAATTTCTGACGCCGAATAAGTGAACAACTATCTCTCCTCATCGGCGTCCATGTTTGAAAAAAAAAACAACTACTCGCCGTCATTTTGTTATAATGTTATATTTGGGTTTTTAATTTACATACATATTATTCTATAATAAAACATTGAATAATTGGTTGTTAATGTCATGTGTCTCCTTGTCAATAAATAATAAATACATATATACACCTACACATGTATCTTTTAATACCTAACACAACATATTCGTATATATTATATTATATAGTAGATTAAAAGTACACAAATATTGAGAATGTGGTCCCAGTTCGATATTGAAATAAATCTAAAACATGTATCAATTATTCATCAATTTAATCGGTCAAAAAATTACTAACACATATTTTCTCGCCCTCCTAGAAAGCAACAAACATAAAAATGTAAAATAAAAACAAAACAAGTAAAATCCCGAATTTGAATAATATAAGATATGATACAATAACACCTAGAAATAAACTCAAATTTCAACCGAAACATAAATAGGATACCTTATATCAATGTTCTAGCCTCCGAAATCGTTTGTGGACAAATCAGTTTTCAAATTGCAACATCAATACAACACACCCTTTGTTATCAGTATATATTGTAATGAAATAAACGAAATGAACTTCTCAAGAAATAAATTCGTTAAGAAAAAAAAAACTTGAAAGTTATACAATAAACATGCCATACAGCTCTAATTCTTGATGAAAAAAAACATTAGAAGGGAAGCTTGAATGGCACTTGGTCATATACCGTTAAAACCTAAGGAAGAGAAGTTTTAATGAATATTTACATAAAATAGCATAAATAGACCCCCATACCCCTCTCTCTCTCTCTCTCTCTCTCTCTCTCTCTCTCTCTCTCTCTCTCTCTCTCTCTCTCACACACACACACACACACACACACACACACACACACGTTCTCTCTCTCTCTCTCTCTCTCTCTCTCTCTCTCCCTCCCCTCTCTCTCTCCCTCCCTCCCTCCCTCTCTCTCTCTCTCTCTCTCTCCCCCCCTCTCTCTCTCTCCCTCTCTCTCTCTCTCTCTCTCTCTCTCTCTCTCTCTCTCTCTCTCTCTCTCTCTCTCTCTCTCTCTCTCTCTCTCTCTCTCTCTCTCTCTCTCTCTCTCTCTCTCTCTCTCTCTCTCTCTCTCTCTCTCTCTCTCTCTCTCTCTCTCTCTCCCTCCTTTCTCTCTCTCATACACAAACAATCAAATAAGTTATTAAATAAAAATGGCAAGGAATATATTTCAATAAATGTAACTTATATTCTCAAATACATTTTACATTAGGGACGATAGTTTTTTCATTGAATAGGGTTTTTTACGTTCAAATACCACAAAACTGCCTGAGTAATAGATTATTATACTCTACAACACTTTTAACCGACTCAAAGCTCACAGATGACCCAATATACCACATATTATGTTCTCCCTGGATATCAAATATATCCCATAATATCCCAGATGCCATGTCGGAGACGGAATACCTAGGAAAGTAGTTCCAAGTTTTTCTGCTTATTACATTCTCAATGGTTGCTTGTTCTACATTCATTATATGATCTTTCAATTTTTTGGTAAGTGTTGTCCTGTCTGGATTTTGTTTTGAGAATTGATAATATACGGACGATTGGACGTATTTGTTGTCCGGACCGTCCGGAAACTCTCCTCGTGTGTAATTTTCTCCTGTAATGTAATTAAGAGAGGAGTAGGAATCTCGGTGAACCCAGATAGAACTTTCTTCTTTATTGTTAATGTTGTAAGCGTAGTAATCCTGGGGAGTCAACCCCCTGTTTAATCCGTAATTAGTATCTACCAATGTTGTCGTATAGTAGTAATTAAATGTCCTACTAAACATCTCCTGGACATGTGGTTCAAATGTAATGACATCTGACATAAATTTCATCGTCGGACTGATGATCAGAAAATCAAATGTTTCTCTGCGCCATCTCCGACATCTCTGATACATAACGCGGAACTTGTTGCTAGGTTTTAAGCGAAAAATCTTTTTAACATCGCTCGACAATCTGACATTGATATTAGATTGTCTTGCAATTTCAGCCCACAGAAATTGAAATCCTTTGCTTAAGATTTTGACGACGCTTTTTACTTCCGGTAATGGCGGTTTGGATATTTCAGCCAGGAGCCTAGGTGTCATCCACATCATTCCGTACAAAGTTGAAATTTCGTCTACGTGTCCATATCCTTGAGCTGTCAGAGCACTCATGAATGTTGCTTTCAACACTTCTATATCATGAATCTTTAGAAACTCAAGAAATGTCATGTTAACTTGGGACATTATGGCTTTAATAGGCCTGGGCATCAATTCCCCTTCATAATTTCCAAACATTTTAGTGTGAAGTCCTATATATTTACCGATGGCTTGTTGTAGAATGCTCATGGCTTCTGTTGTATTAGTGATATGTGGATGAAGCTCAACCAAAACTCGTAGAATGTTCTGTAAATTTGTCATTGGAACTGTAATAAAAATCATCTTTATGAATGAACATACTTTTGTTTTTTTTAATAAAACAATATATTTCAAATGCACTTTACAAATTAATAAACAATGTTTATTTACGTGTTTGTTTATATGAGGGGTCAAAGGTCAGAACTGAGTAATTCACCAAAATACAAAAGTTAAGGCTCTAAATGTCTCGAAGAATCAAATTACAAGGCTGCATGTGTCGCCAAAGGTCAAAGGTAAATGGGCTCCATATGTAACAAAATGTCAAAGGTTAATTCTCTATGCCACCGAATGTTACGTTAAGTTTGTATATGTCAACAAAAGATAATTTCTCTATATGTCACCAAGCAAAGGTCATAGGTTACGTCTCTATGTCACCAAAGGTCATATGTTATGGCACTATATTCATCAAAGGTCATAGGTTAAGGCTCTACATTACACCGAAGAAGGACTACTACTAGATGAGTCACAAGATGTCAAAGGTTAAATCTTTTTGGAATTAAATGATATCCTACCTAATAAATAACTGATACCTTATTTGGTAAATAGTTGATACCCTACCTGGTTGTTGTTTATTGACCCAAATTGTTGGACTCGGCATTGGTAGGAGATGCCCTGCGTCGAATTCGTTTACCAATCTGTAAATTTCTGTATAATCTGGCTGAGTGTAAACTGTACCCATTTCATGAGGCACTTGACGATGATAAATTGTTCTTGACTTCCCACCAATATAGTTTGACTTCTCAAACACAGTTATGTTTGTATAACCAGCTACCTGTCAACATCATAGAAAGGTACATATATACAGTCTATGTATATAATCAAGCACATACAAATTATTAATGGCGTCCAAGCAAACCACTTGCTGATCGATTCGGATTTAGATTATGCATTATGTCATTGTTTTGTTTGTCTCTGTCAGTGAGTTTGTACAAACATGTTTTGTCGGTTGAAACTCTACGCTAATTGGAATATATTAACCTAACCTGTTTGCCGATCAGTTACAAACTATGTCAGTTTTACAGGTTAAAGATAAAATACATGACCTGTGTTACTTTTCTCCATTTCTTTCACTTATCAATAATTTGGAAAAAATCAAACATATCTCTTTCTTACACTAGTATAATTTGTTTAATGATTTATCTCATTCCACGCAAGAAAAAAATCCTTATTTCTAATTTATGTTAAATAATTGTTAAATTATATAAACGTTTATGCAAAAGACACGCAAGTGAGCAGCACATTTTTATGATTTAGAGTTAGATACAATGGATTCAAACAATAAATTAAACTGCATCATATAGATGTTTCGTCCTTCTAGGTCTCGTCAGTGATGCTAAGGGCCTAAATTTTGAAGCCTAGGAGGCGATATTATTACAGAAAACGAAAAAAAAAAACAATATCAATGTTTGGAGGGCTATAACCAAAAGGTAATGAAAAATGTGATGTCGCGTTGAAGCACTCGGGATGTGGAAAAGCTAGTCTAATATGTTAATGTTACAATGCTGGGACGATCAATTATGTAGTTGTATGTATGCAGTTTTCTTTATCTCTAACCTGTATGTGGTTGACGGTAATATCAATTTTGTCTCACGTATGCTCAGACTTTACACACTATTAATTTTCGTGTATTGTATATAAATGTATATACTCCAGAAAAATAGATTGTCGTGATATTGATAGAAAAACTTGTCATAAGAATGAATATCCTACATGAATGTAAAGTGTTTGTGTATATTCTGAACGTTGCCACTATTCGAATGAAATAAATTTACAATGACATACAGGTTTATTAGGGAAAGCTGATACCTTTATTACTATTATAAAACTAGGTAGTCCTCTTTCTTATATTTTTGTTTGCGTCTGCGCGTAAAATGATAAAAACATAAATATCAGTCACATGATTTTTCATCTGTCCTATATGTCATGTATGCCATTCATGGTAAAATGTTCGCGGAATACAAGAATTCATATTGTACAATTTTTTATAATGAATAACAGAAATGTACAACGTGCTGTTGTTTTTATCAACAGCTGAATCATTCGTTATTAACACTAATTATTTATGTGGTCACAACACAGAACGGAAACTAATGACTTAGGTATATAATTACTCTAGGCATACTTCTAATTGTGTCATAAAAATACAAAACCATTCAGCATTACAGAAATCGCACTAGCGATGATGTCTATTGTCAGTGTAACCATTTGGAAACTGTGGCTATTCACGTACAAAAAATGTCGTTGAAAATAACAAAGGAAACATCAATGTGTAAAGCCGGAATTGGGAATATGTTCAGTTATCTAATATATGTCCCTATGTTTAGTTATTTAGTGCATGTCTTTATGTTCTGTTATCTAATGCATGTCCTTATGTTCAGTTATCTAATACATGTCTTTATGTTCAGTTATCTAATGCATGTCCTTATGTTCAGTTATCTAATGCATGTCCTTATGTTCAGTTATCTAATACATGTCTTTATGTTCAGTTATCTAATACATGTCTTTATGTTCAGTTATCTAATGTATGTCCCTATGTTTAGTTATCTAGTGCATGTCTTTATGTTCTGTTATCTAATACATGTCTTTATGTTCAGTTATCTAGTGTATGTCCTTATGTTCAGTTATCTAATACATGTCCTTATGTTCAGTTATCTAATACATGTCTTTATGTTCAGTTATCTAATGTATGTCTTTATGTTCAGTTATCTAATGTATGTCTTTATGTTCAGTTATCTAATACATGTCTTTATGTTCAGTTATCTAATACATGTCCTTATGTTCAGTTATCTAATACATGTCTTTATGTTCAGTTATCTAATACATGTCTTTATGTTCAGTTATCTAATGTATGTCTTTATGTTCAGTTATCTAATACATGTCCTTATGTTCAGTTATCTAATACATGTCTTTATGTTCAGTTATCTAGTGTATGTCTTTATGTTCAGTTATCTAATACATGTCTTTATGTTCAGTTATCTAATAAATGTCCTTATGTTCAGTTATCTAATACATGTCAGTTATCTAGTGTATGTCTTTATGTTCAGTTATCTAATACATGTCTTTATGTTCAGTTATCTAATACATGTCCTTATGTTCAGTTATCTAATGTATGTCTTTATGTTCAGTTATCTAATGTATGTCTTTATGTTCAGTTATCTAATACATGTCCTTATGTTCAGTTATCTAATGTCTTTATGTTCATGTCTTTATGTTCAGTTATCTAATGTATGTCTTTATGTTCAGTTATCTAATACATGTCCTTGTGTTCAGTTATCTAATACATGTCTTTATGTTCAGTTATCTATGTTCAGTTATCTAATACATGTCTTTATGTTCAGTTATCTAATACATGTCTTTATGTTCAGTTATCTAATACATGTCTTTATGTTCAGTTATCTAATACATGTCTTTATGTTCAGTTATCTAATACATGTCCTTATGTTCAGTTATCTAATATATGTCTTTATGTTCAGTTATCTAATACATGTCTTTATGTTCAGTTATCTAATACATGTCTTTATGTTCAGTTATCTACTTTATGTTCAGTTATCTAATACATGTCATTAAGTTCAGTTATCTAATACATGTCTTTATGTTCAGTTATCTAATACATGTCTTTATGTTCAGTTATCTAATACATGTCTTTATGTTCAGTTATCTAATATGTCTTTATGTGTTCAGTTATCTAATACATGTCTTTATGTTCAGTTATCTAATACATGTCCTTATGTTCAGTTATCTAATGTATGTCTTTATGTTCAGTTATCTAATGTTGTTCAGTTATCTATCAGTTATCTAATGTATGTTATCTTTATGTTCCTTATGTTGTTCAGTTATCTAATGTCTTTATGTTCAGTTATCTAATACATGTCTTTATGTTCAGTTATCTAATGTATGTCTTTATGTTCAGTTATCTATGTGTCAGTTATCTAATGTGTCCTTATGTTCATTATCTAATTTGTCTTTATGTTCAGTTATCTAATGCATGTCCTTATGTTCAGTTATCTATGTTCAGTTATCTAATACATGTCTTTATGTTCAGTTATCTAATACATGTCTTTATGTTCAGTTATCTAATACATGTTCAGTTATCTAATGCATGTCTTTATGTTCAGTTATCTAATACATGTCTTTATGTTCATGTTATCTAATACATGTCTTTATGTTCAGTTATCTAATGTACTTTATGTCAGTTATCTTATGTCTTTATGTTCAGTTATCAGTTATGTTCTAATGTATGTCTTTATGTTCAGTTATCTAATACATGTCCTTATGTTCAGTTATCTAATGTATGTCTTTATGTTCAGTTATCTAATACATGTCCTTATGTTCAGTTATCTAATGTATGTCTTTATGTTCAGTTATCTAGTGTATGTCTTTATGTTCAGTTATCTTTATGTTCAGTTATCTAATACATGTCTTTATGTTCAGTTATCTAATACATGTCCTTGTGTTCAGTTATCTAATACATGTCTTTATGTTCAGTTATCTAATGTTGTCTTTATGTTAGTTATCTAATGTATGTCTTTATGTTCAGTTATCTAATACATGTCTTTATGTTCAGTTATCTAAACATGTCCTTATGTTCAGTTATCTAATGTATGTCTTTATGTTCAGTTATCTAATACATGTCTTTATGTTCAGTTATCTAATACATGTCTTTATGTTCAGTTATCTAATACATGTCTTTATGTTCTTTATGTTATCTAATACATGTCTTTATGTTCAGTTATCTAATACATGTCCTTGTGTTCAGTTATCTAATACATGTCTTTATGTTCAGTTATCTAATACATGTCTTTATGTTCAGTTATCTAATGTATGTCTTTATGTTCTGTTATCTAATGTATGTCTTTATGTTCAGTTATCTAATCTAATACATGTCTTTATGTTCAGTTATCTAATGTATGTCTTTATGTTCAGTTATCTAATGTATGTCTTTATGTTCAGTTATCTAATGTATGTCCTTATGTTCAGTTATCTAATGTATGTCTTTATGTTCAGTTATCTAATGTATGTCTTTATGTTCAGTTATCTAATGTATGTCTTTATGTTCAGTTATCTAATGTATGTCTTTATGTTCAGTTATCTAATACATGTCTTTATGTTCAGTTATCTAATACATGTCTTTATGTTCAGTTATCTAATACATGTCTTTATGTTCAGTTATCTAATACATGTCTTTATGTTCAGTTATCTAATGTATGTCTTTATGTTCAGTTATCTAATGTATGTCTTTATGTTCAGTTATCTAATACATGTCTTTATGTTCAGTTATCTAATGTATGTCTTTATGTTCAGTTATCTAATGTATGTCTTTATGTTCAGTTATCTAATGTATGTCTTTATGTTCAGTTATCTAATACATGTCTTTATGTTCAGTTATCTAATACATGTCTTTATGTTCAGTTATCTAATGTATGTCCCTATGTTCAGTTATCTAATGTATGTCCTTATGTTCAGTTATCTAATGTATGTCTTTATGTTCTGTTATCTAATGTATGTCCCTATGTTCAGTTATCTAGTGCATGTCTTTATGTTCAGTTATCTAATGTATGTCCCTATGTTCAGTTATCTAATACATGTCTTTATGTTCAGTTATCTAATGTATGTCCCTATGTTCAGTTATCTAATGTATGTCTTTATGTTCAGTTATCTAATACATGTCCTTATGTTCAGTTATCTAATACATGTCTTTATGTTCAGTTATCTAATGCATGTCCTTATGTTCAGTTATCTAGTGCATGTCTTTATGTTCAGTTATCTAATGTATGTCCCTATGTTCAGTTATCTAATACATGTCTTTATGTTCAGTTATCTAATGTATGTCCCTATGTTCAGTTATCTAATGTATGTCCTTGTGTTCAGTTATCTAATACATGTCTTTATGTTCAGTTATCTAATACATGTCTTTATGTTCAGTTATCTAATGTATGTCTTTATGTTCTGTTATCTAATGTATGTCTTTATGTTCAGTTATCTAATACATGTCTTTATGTTCAGTTATCTAATGTATGTCCTTATGTTCAGTTATCTAATGTATGTCCCTATGTTCAGTTATCTAATGTATGTCCTTATGTTCAGTTATCTAATGTATGTCTTTATGTTCTGTTATCTAATGTATGTCCTTATGTTCAGTTATCTAATGTATGTCTTTATGTTCAGTTGTCTAATGTATGTCTTTATGTTCAGTTATCTAATACATGTCTTTATGTTCAGTTATCTAATACATGTCTTTATGTTCAGTTATCTAATGTATGTCTTTATGTTCAGTTATCTAATACATGTCTTTATGTTCAGTTATCTAATACATGTCTTTATGTTCAGTTATCTAATACATGTCTTTATGTTCAGTTGTCTAATGTATGTCTTTATGTTCAATATCTAATGTATGTCCTTATGTTCAGTTATCTAATACATGTCTTTATGTTCAGTTATCTAATGCATGTCTTTATGTTCAGTTGTCTAATGTATGTCCTTATGTTCAGTTATCTAATGTATGTCCCTATGTTCATTATCTAGTGAGTGTCTATGTTCGTATGACAAATGTTTATTTAAGCCAACCTTTAGTTTATAAGCCATGTGGATCCCAGCGGGTCCAGCACCAATGATTGCTATTCGGTCCTGTTTAGATTTCGGGCCTTGAATTTTCGGGAAAGGAGTTGATAGTAATGTTTCGTCTACCACATTGTATTGTTCTGTAGAAAGAAAAACAACATAAGATACTGACGTATTGACTGTAACCTAAAAACCTGTCAAAAGATATATTGTCAAGTTGTCATTCTATCTGCCACCTAGTTTTCCTTCAATTTAAAATTTAAGTTAAAATTCCAAGGTTCTTTTTCCGTCCGTTTGACATGCTAACCGTCTGTGACAATATCTAATTTCAAACTTACAACAAAGAGATTCGAGAGATGGTGGATGATAAAGACTACAAAATCATTTGTGTGTTCGATACCGTAATCTTCCTGTAAAATATCTCATTTCCTTCTTATGAATACGCCAGGTGGTTTATTGTTGTCAATAATGTTGGAGTACGTCATATTACATTTTTCGACTGCCAAAGATTCAAATAATGGTTTAGTAGAATTTGTTTTCCCTTCCGGAACACCTATTCTGGTGATTATTGTACTTTACAAAGGTTTTTCTCTCTGACGTTTATGTTTTACTCTCGTTTCAACAATTGTAACAACGTTTCGGTATTTACTTGTTGTTTCTATCTGTTTGGCGTTTTATGGTGAAACAATATTCATCCCCCTGACAAATTAAGACGAAACTCGTACTTCATAATGTATAAATGTTTTCGGTTCATTACGTAATATACGTGTATAAATTACCCTAAAGGTATATGTTCAAAACAGCTTGCTGTGACGTTATATTGATGAGAATTATTCCATTTTACAGTTAATTTACTCTAAATGTAACATATTGTAGAACATCAATATTCTAACGACAATGATGCCGATTAGTGGCAACTGGTACTGCAGAACTTCAACATAATCAAAATTTACTTCTTGAACTGTTTTTCCTTTTGTGATGTAAAATCTGATTTTTTTTTCCATAAATAAATCTCTTGGTAACGTTCCAATATGAATCCGTATAACAGTCGTATCAAATTGTACAATAAAACGATAAGGGTAATTTTAACTCCTGGAAAAAACAGACCAATAAAAACCTTTATTCACGTGACATGAGTCATACAACGGAGTGTTGCTGAATTAGCCTAGTTTTTATTTCATGCTAAAGGGCACGTATAGGAAGGCCAATGAAGTTAATCTCGTTGATTATGACCATCTCTTCATTATTTGTACCATAAAACAACAGTGTGTCTGAGTGCAGTATTTTTGTGCTTATCTTTATTAGTTGATATACTTTATTGCTTTACGGACAGATGTTAATTTAGAACAAATCTATTCCCATTATCCCCGCCACTTCGGATACCGAACGGAATGTGGAATTAGAATTAGTCAGTCATATCATTGTGCAGTTGTTACTAAAGGTGGGTTGTGGGTAATTATTCAGCTGCTGAAATAGTATATAGCTTTGAGAATTACAACCCACTTCTACAGATATATACACATTCCCTGCTTAATCATATTTCTATAATTATACCTCTTGTAAATCTTAGCGTTGTTTTGGAATGTTGACCACAAATAGAAATGTTTACATTTGCGCTGCAATCTCTCTAGATGAAGAAAGCCCAACCCAATGTTAATAATTTTCGATATTTACGTACGGTGATTAGGCTTGCGCATAGATATCAAATAAAATGTAAGAACTACTTGTCCAAGTTGCGAACGCTACAAAACGAGATTATAGTTTATGTCGTTCGGAAAAGTAAAGGAAAATGTCAATCCTTACAAAAATAACTTTAAAACATATGGCATTAAAAGAAAAGTATGTCCATCTCACTCTCCGAGATCGCGGCCGGTAAAAATGTTGTAAAACCTGTAAAAGCACGTGCTATTTGTAATGTCCCAACCGAATGTCGCCAGGTTGTACCGATGCCCTCAGAAAATACACAACCTAACCTCAGTATGAATTATTCTGCTGCAGCCTTTCAGTCAAACATGTCATCAGAACTTTTATCTAATTAATTCTTCCATGGACGCACGTTCACATTCAACAACACTCACTAGCATTATCAACGTGGAAAAAATGGCGTGTCATGTTAATCGTTTTCCCGCTCTTTCGATCAGCTGATCGGGCGGCCTCATCACGTATTTATAGATATATACCTGCGCGGTGTTAAATAATGACATTGTGTACTATGAGAAAGGAATATTGTGTAAATTATGAACTATTGATTCTTAAAACTAAAAGAGGATGTCTAAATATTTAAATAAATATTATAAAACATGTTGATTGTACTCTTATCTTTGAGAACTATTTTGTTTACTGTACAGGTCCACGGCAGCGCCACCTAGTGTTTTTGGATTTACTTGGCTGTTCTGTAAAGCGGGCGGCTGTGCGAACAATGTGTATAAGATGGTTTTGTTTTTATTTTTATTTTTAATTTCAAAGTGGGCAAGTGTAAATATAAGGATTGTTTCTTATTTTCTGTAGCTGTATCGAATTGTATTTACATTGGGGTAAGTACATATTTAACTTGGTGCGCGCAATATGTACTTACCCAATGTAGATACAATTCGCTGCAGCTACAGAAAATAAGATACAATCTGACCTGTACAGCTTAAGTATATATTTTTTAAAAAGCCTGCATTTGTGCGGTAAATGTCTAAAACTTTTACTCTCATTTTATTCTGTTGACATAAAGCTAACACGACTTAAGGGCTGTTTATTTTTATGTTATTTACCGTAATATCAACAAATAAGATTTTGAGGATTAATAACATAAATACAAACTTAATACCTGGTCAAAGAAATATGAACCTTTTTGCAAATACCCAGTAATTTCCAGCTATATCTTTAAACTGCGTTAAATGATCGAAAACGAAATAGCAATGAAACGAAATGGAATGCTACTTTCGAGAGGCTTAAAATTCGTTTATTTTTTCCTTCAAAATAAACGTCTTCGTTGACTGTTGATGCCATTGATAAATCCTACTCCTGAAAATCAGTTAATCCATGTCAAATTTTATCGTTTATCATTTCGTGAACATATAAATTCGTGGATTAAGAGTTCCACTGAATTCAAAGGAAATGCGTCACCCACAAAAATTACTGACTTTTACAGTATGTGTATAAGCGAGTTTAATGATTTTTTACAACCCGGGAATGTAATGTAAACTCTTTTAGCCTATATTTTATGTAGGTATTGTGATTCGTTTATCAACACTGTGATTCACATTTTATTTATGGCAATAGTGATGTTGTTGATGTTTTCACTCAGGCCCGTATTCCAACAGCAACATAAAAGTCTCCAGCTGTTGTTAAAACACGTCTTACTCTGTGACAAGAAGTCTGTAAACGCATCGATGAACTTTGAGTTATATCAAACTATCGTTATCTATTCATATATTTTTCTTTAAGTGTCGACCTTATTTACAAATCTGTCGTCTTGTCATCTTCGTAACCTCAATAAACGGTTGGTTAATTTTGTTTTAATTCTTGGCCTTAAAAACAGTCTCGTCCTCGATTCACCAATCTTTACAACGAAATCAATATTCTAACTGTTTGTTTAGGTCTGTTGCACGTGTTGTTATTTATAGTAAACATTATTGTGGTATACTTTGACAATTTTTTGTTAAAAAAAATCAGACTTACCTAACAATGATCTTGTTTCGTCCTCCGATGAGAATCCAATAACAGAAACGACCTGAAAAGGAAAACAATAATTATCTATTGTGTTCTCGAAATTTTACATTTTAGTGTGTTCTTGATTTGGTAGTGTCACCATACTTACATGTACCAAACACAATATTGTAAGAGAAACAACGGCTGTCGACAGGTTGTCCATCTCTCTGCGTACCATTACCTTTAGTGTTCCGTGCTGACTAGTAATTCTCTCTTTATATATATATCTACATTCACAAACACACACTCACAGAGTGTGGGAGATACATATGTGTAGTCACGCCTATGCGTCAATTGCATTGCATACGTCGGTATAAAGTTAAATTACCTTGACAGGTATTTTAAATAACACGCTTTGATAAATTTCATATAATAAGGTCTAATAAACACTGACACGTCCTAAGATACCAAGGTTTCTAAAAAAAGTTATTTATAGTAAATCCAGTTTGTTTGTTTAGATACCGTTTATCTCAGTATTATGATGTGTGGGTGTGATATTGGAGACTCGGGTAACTTGTTTGTATTCAGTATTGTCAGGACCAATTTTATAATTTTTTCATTATTCTGATGGTGCTTATGTTTCGTTGTAATAGTAAACGTGTAACCAGATGGATTCCGTGTAACTGATGATAACTTACTCAGAAAATTCCTCTTTATTCTGACTTTTCATTGCGTTGTACACTGTATCATCATACTGTGCGTCATTTCAGCCCAGCATATCCAGCTATGTTACATTTTGATCCTACAGTCACTGTAACACAGTAGGCGTAAACACATGTACTTGTTGGTAATAGCCATGCTTATTACATGTTGAATAATAATAATGTTACATGTACAAACCCAACATCTCATCAACATACAGAGTTCATATACTCATACTAGTACTTCTAACCTAAAGATTACCCCCTTTTATCCTACTCTAGACCAAGCTTGTTCGGCCATCCCCTAATATTGACTTCACTTGTTGTTAGAGGATACAGTTGTTGAAGTATAGCTACCTGTACTCGAGGTGCAAGGTTGAGATTCCTGCTAATTTGTTACTTGAAATAGACCCTAATAATTACTCCACCACTAGGTGGCCACTGACCGAACGGTAAATTACATAAGTTTAATTATCAAGGAAGTGGGGATAGTCTCTAATTAATTACCTGGCCAAAGCTGTACACCCACTGATAAGATTCTCGGGACCCAGACTATACCAACCTAAGTGTATATATGCAAGTAATTACCCACACCCCTGTGAACTACCTTTATGTGTTTTATTGATATACTATTGAACATTAAACGAACTATTGTTTTTAGCTAACTTATTTCAACCAATCCCATATGAAAATCCAGCTGTGTTACATTAAACCCCATTTTTACATCATTCAGCCAAGTATGTCATTTCATGACACATTTCGATACTATAGTAATTTCAGCTCAGTATATCAAGTCATGTCACATTTCGATACTACACTCCACTTTCACTTTCTCAGCGATCATCATAAGTATGGGTGGGTGGTGTTTGAGTCGGGCGGCGATGTAAATGCTAATCTATTGAATTGGCGGAACAAATTTTTTTTAAATTGAAATTTAACCCTTCTCCTTGATGGTTGGGTGGAGAATGTCGGCCTACATATGTTTCCGTGGCACAGTGATTCATATGTGATGAAAAAAGTCTTTTTCATTATTTCTTTTTATTCTACTGTCAAAATGACATATATACATTTGAGTTATTTTGAAAGCAAATTGTCACATGACTGATAACGTTTCTGTGCAAATATCAGCTTACTGTTGAATTATATGTACATGGTGGTGAACTATTGACACGATGTGTCAGCGACACAGTGAGGTACATTTTGTATGTAACAGAAAATGACATTATGGTACTTACTGAGAAAACTGCTAAAAGGACAATTGCTACTTGTACTTGTCTCATCATGTTTTATCGAAACTTGTAGATAACAGTTAAAGCCCCAATATACGTACCATTCACCAAAAATTTAGTGTAGAATCACACATAACTATTGAGATATTCTCTGAGATGTAGTTTAAAATTAAGTTATTCAAACAATAGTTACCATGACTTTGTGCATAAAATATTGATATATGAGCAGTTGAAACTCGCTATTTGTAAACACACCTCCATTTTAAACACGCCGCCATCGAAATTACGATTGTTGCCGAACCACGTCGGAAAGTTCATGACCTGATCTCGCGAGAGTTGAGGTTTCTACTTATAGAGGAAGCACATGCAGATATGTCTACGGTAAGTTTTTGTTTACAAACATTGTTTGCGAAGTCTTGTCGTAGACTTGAGGTATTCCTGTGATAAACATTCAGTTCTTGGGAAATTATTAGAAAAAATAATTAGTTTAGAAACGATACGACGCACAATTATAACGTAAGAATTCAGAACTGGCCTGATGTATGATTGACAAAAAAGGAAGCGACTGGTGAACGTCTGTACTGTGTCTGCCATGTTTACACACGCGGAATATGCGCATGCGCAATGTCATCGCTACAAGCGGTAATGTATGAATTATTGTGGGTCCCACATTGTTTATTTTCCAATTTTTTCACTTTTTATTTAAATTGAAAACAGTCAGTTTTATTTTCTTTAATTAAAGGAAAGTATTTGTTTTGTTACATATATTACGGGGAAAATAAGATAAAGTTTGTTTTTTATAGTGATTTTTACGTATATTGGGGCTTTAAAGTTTCGCTATAAATTCTGAAAGTGGTGGTGAGTGTCGCCTATTGTGTTCATTGGGAGGAAACAAAAAACAAAATCCCCTCTTCAGGGAGATTTTTTTCTTTAATTTTCGATCCGTTGAAGCCCCTTTCTTCTTTTCAAAAAAGAAATTCCGCTCCAAAAAATTCTCATGCACATGTTCGATCAAGGTACAAAAATATCTTCTTTCATTTTTTAAAAGATGAATATCAAAGAAGTTTTCGTCACAATGGGAAACCCTTTTTGAATAATGTCTTAACACAACAAAACGGAATCGTTTCTTGTAGCACTACACTACGATGAAAGAGAAAAAGAAAGTGTTTTAAATAAGAAACAGTATACATTGTGTTACGGTTGTCCCTTAGAAAATATAGGAACCTTAACACCAGCTTACGGTATTCATTTGGTTCAACAATATGTTGAATCCTTCGTCTAATGCACTTTTCCGTGTCATTTTATATATATATATATTCATTCGACCATATTGACTTTCGTCAATCCATGTTGAGGCTTGAGTCCTGAAAGGACGAAATAATTGCATGGCGCAGTTTCCTTATTCGACTCATATCCAACGGTAAGAAAATCGAGAAGTATAATTTTTATCACTTCTGAACATTTATTTTGATATTGTTTTGGTTCATTTTTAATGTGACGAGCGTGACAAACACCTGGAGAAAAACCGAGGCCGTCCGAGAGGAAAAGCGAAAGTTCAAAGTAAATATACAGCGAACGTCACAATTGTTTATGTATATCACATACATGTTCATAATGGCTCACTGATTTTTCTGAAAAAAAATAGCTTGTGGAAATATACAATTATTTTAGGATGATTTAATGTCATGTAACAGCTGAGTGTCAGATTCTTGATCACAGCTACAGCTCGATCGATCTTAGGCTCCATAACATATATATTGTTATATATTGAACGATACGGACCCATGTGTTATCCCTGGGAGAGTTTAAAGAAAATCGGTAATGATACAAAAATAAGGAAATAATATGACAAAAAATGCATCGCAACAAAATAAATCGGCGTAAGAAGAAAAAAAACAAAAGTTAAATTTGGATAATTTTGCTATGGGTAGTAAATCGTGAAAATAGAAATGAGTGGATGGTCGAGTGGCGTCGAGGCAACACACTGGGGGTTCGATTCCTGGAATGGTTGTGAAATGGTATTGGGTCACCTGTCCCGGTTTTCCCTAGGTTTCCTCCCACAGTTAGACGCCCGCACGCTTATATCTGGGCCAACCATAGTGATCATTACACGCTGTGGTAGCTTGTTTCGCAATAGTTGGAAAATAAATGAAAATCGTAAATAGTAAAACAAAGTTCACTGAACCTAAACAGCATTGCGAGATAGAAGGTATGATACTATGACATGTGAGTTATGTTCGTTTTCATCACTGTTATTGTCCTTTCTTGATAAGGGTAACAAGTAACGACACTTTAGTCCCATTGAATAAACAAACGGTATACGCACCACTTGAACTTGGTTATATTGAAAAACCGGTTAATTTGAAATAAGAAAAGAATCCCCGTCAACTTGTCTTCTTTTATTTAAGTGTTTTCACTTCGCTTAATTTGAAATCGGTAAATTTGAAATCCCTCATTATTTTAAAGGTAAATACTGGTCCGAGAGAGTCTCAATGTACTGTTTTCACTTCGCTTAAGTTGAAGGCCACCCCGGCGCCCGTGAGCAGTGTCATCACGCTTTATGTGTCTGTATCTCCGAGTTCAATGCCAACGTAAAAATATGATACGAAAGAAATATATTATCAGCAATAAACCATTGTTTTTTGTTACTGTAACATTTTATGTAGATGAGAGCGACAGGCGTTTTACAATGTGTTCATCAGACAAGAAACGTAAAAAACTGACAACTGATGAATATTATGAGCATTCATGCTGTAGATAGACTACTAAGCTGTTTCTAATGAAATACCACTAAACTGTAGACAGAACGTATATATATATGCATTGTTTCATCATTAAACGTGTCTGATAGGCCTGGGTGCTAGAAAAGGCTTATACTGGTTAATTTGAAACCTGTTTAATTTGAAGTATTTTTTTCATTCCCGAGAATTTCGAATATAACCGGGTTCGTCTGTATATGGGGAATATTTGTGATATATCTAACTAGAGATATTGCAATGTGTTAATATGTTGATTAAACTCTACATTAGCTTTCATTTTCTGAAAAAAATAAATAATTCTTATATGTTACCAATATGATACAATTAACCGTGTTATTGAAATTGTCCATAACAGCAGATGTCATTATACGTTAAATAATGTTCATAGGAAAATGTCACTTCCGGTAAACAATGTCTCTTTTTATTTACAATGTTTAACATTCAGATAAGGTCATATATGTGCGATCATTTGCCACCATCGAGCATAGTGTAAAAAAAAGAGACCAATGGAATACCGAGGATGACGTTTGTACATTCCAGGTAAATCCC